AACAGAACAGAACAGAAGTTTTTACCGAGATAACGTACAAATAAAACCAATGTGAGGCTTTTCTTTATGCTGTTTGTAAGATTTTGAAGATATTTGGCTGGAGGTTTGTCAAGGGTTATAAAAGGCAGAAAAGGAAGAGCAGCTCATATTTTTAAAGTTTGACCCAGTCCCTCTTTGGTGACAGAGGCAGCACAGCGTGTGCTGAGAAGCCTGTGAAGGAACGCAGCTTTTCATCTCCACTCATAAGCATAGCTAACCTCCTTTCTCATCCTGTGGCGTCCTTCCATCGAGTTTCACCATGTCCACGCATGTGTGTGTTTATCAGGTGCAGAGTTTTGGTTTTGTTTTCTTTATAAATTTGCTCCTCTCCCATGCAGGGAGCTTCACTGTGTGATACTGAAGCCTAAAATAAAAACAGGGACATGTATTGAAGCCAGCATTTCAATGTCACCTCTCCGTGCGGTTAAAGTTTGTCAGCTTCAGATTTGGTATGAATTTCATCATACCTCTCTGCAGTGCAGTAAAAAAAACTTTAAATGCACAAACTCTGCATCGCCTGGACTTAAAGTCTTCTACAGTCATGCAGGTTTCCATAATAAACAGATCAGCACTTCTGATAAACGTGTCTCTCATATAGTATCATAATATCGTGTCTCTCTGACTGTGATCCAAGCTAGTTATTTCCAACCAGGGGATTGCTGCTAAACCTGCAAGAACATCATCTACAAAAACACACACACACAAACACACACACACTTAGAACCAACACATCACAAGCTCTGTTTGATGCATCTGTCTCCAAGCATGGAGACCCACGGTCTATGTTGTTCCACAACACATTAATGGAGGGCCTCCAGCTGAGTACGGCTGACAGACATCTGGAGGAGAGCGATAGCTCAGATGTGGCAGCTCCTGTCGCTGTATTGATTCACACTTCAGCGCTGACATTCAGAGCAGACACAAGTGAGGCTTTGGCAATCTTGTGTTCTTGGGCTGTTATGGATTTACGGTGCAGAAAAGTGAAAGTTATTGCAAGGGAAGCTGAGGTGTGTCAGTCAGTGCTGGAGGGAGAATTCTACTGCACTTTTCTTCTCAGTGAAAATGTTTGCTGTGTCATAATCTGGTCAAACTTTAGAGGCAAGTGATATAATACCGGACTCTGTGGTGCTTCCATAATGTAAACCTATTTCTGTATTTAGTACTGTTATATGTTGCCTCACCGTGCCGTCCAACCAATATTCAGAAAGTTCAGAGTTTGTTTGTTTGGTTTGCTGAAAATATTAGAACAATATAGTGTAAGTGCAGGTTGTAGTTGTAGTTGTAGTTGTAGTAAAATAGACTTATCTCTCTGTCAGTACTGTCTCTATCTCAATGAGAATCCCTGCAAATTCCCAAAAAATAAAGGTGAATCAGATCACACGGGCTGAACAAAGACAGATCCTAATGGTTTTAAATGCCTCGTGGGAACAGTTATTGGCCTCCACACACAATCCCTCAGTACAGATGTTAATCAAAGGTCTGACTGGGGTTGAATAGTGTTGCAGAGACCGACACCTTAGACAAGAGGGGTAGAGAGGTGGGTTGAAGATCTGACAGTGTGATCTAGAATCAGACTCAGCGTGTCAGTTTCCGGCTGTGAGCCCTGCGGGTTGTTGGCCAGACACCCCAGTAGTATTGAAGTGTGAGGTTGGGGATGGCTAACCACACGGCCTGCTGGGAGCTGTGGTCCTTGGTCTCTGGCTTTCTGACAGCATGTTGTTTAGCTGAGAGTAAACTGAAAATAGATTGTCAAGGGAAACCACAAATTAGTTGTTCTGCCTCTACATTTGCTCATATTCCACAGCTGATGAGCAGAGGAAGGAAATGATACAACATGTAAAGTAGTGACATATATATACGTGTATATATATATAAAGAGTAAAGGTTTTGAATCAGAGAGTAAACTGTGCATACAAGTTATCCTTTTATACATTAGAACAAAAGTATTTTCAATTAAAAAATTCCACTGGCCATCCACTTATCATTGCTCTAATGCGCAGTTGAAATACATGTGTAATTTGGACACACTGCAGCAGCTGAAAATACCATCCCAGGGTCCAACATGTGTATGATGCCCAACTGGTATCAGACCAGCTTCAAAGAGTCCAGTGCCATAAATAAGTCTGGGCTGAGTCTATGGCTGGCATGCTGACTGTCAAAATTGTCAAATGGATTGTGAGGGACTGTAGAGTCAATAATATTGTGGAGGACAATGACTTCACTGAAGTTTGGAAAGAAACTCTGATCGCATTGTACGATTGTAAGAAACCTTTAAGATTCACCAAAAAAATGCTATGAAGTAAATTTTGAGTTAGACGTTGCACATTTGCACTTTCCATATTAACAATTCCATCATATGGAGTAGTCAAATAAAAACATTTAAAAAACATTTAGACATACTGATTATTCTCAACAAATAATGGTTAATGAGAAATTGTTTGATGAGATTAAGATTAAGACTTTGAGTTGAGACAGATTTGGTGCTTAGTTTGTTGGCGTTTGTTCTACTCCAATAGTTAGACATACTGATTATTCTCAACAAATGAGAAATGGTTAATGAGAAATTGTTTGATGATATTAAGATTAAGACTTTGGGTTGAGACAGATTTGGTACTTAGTTTGTTGGCGTTCGTTCTACTCCAATAATTTTGTTATGATGGGACTCCTCAATGAAACGCAGGTTGAGTTTAATAACAAGTAGATTTTCTATTTCAAATCACGGTTATACATTACGCCCTTAGATTAAATGTTAAATCATTCAAAGATCCCAAAGGCATCACCAATTTTTGGGCAGAATTGCAGCATGACGGTGGTCACCACTAAGAAAGAAGAAAATGTTCTGCAAGACGAAACAATGTGCCAAATGAGAAAAGTTGAATTTCATTTGTAAAGGCCATTGATATTCTGACAGTCTCTTCTGAATATCAGTTGCTTCATGGAGAAAAGTGTCTGGAGTAAAACAAGGAAACAAGAAAATGCTTAACAAAGTCATATTTATTCATCCTGCTGCTGCCTGGCTCTTATTTGGTCTTGGAGACTTGAGTTGAGTTTGCCACTCTTCACTGACAAAAAGCGACAATGGCAGGCTTTTTATGCATTCAGCCATTTGTTGGCGTATGGAAATAATGTGCCAGTGCAGCACTTTTCACTTCATTCATGTTCTCACTGTGCTTACATTAAAAAGCAACCAAAGTATATTTTTACTTTGTGGAATATGAATCAGCAACTGTCAGAAGGAAGCAAAGGAGCAAAATGTGACTAAATGAACAAGAGGAAATCATTCTTTTGGTTCCTCAGTTGAAATCTTAGCCAAATTTCCTACTGAATCAAATCATCATTACACAGGAACTGGTTTTAACCAAACTGAACCTGATCAAATCTGCTTTAAAACAATAATGAGGATGTGTGTACATTTTATTAATCTGAGCAAAACAGGACACCTTAATGCTTTAGAGTCCACACATTTCATGGGCATATACTTGGGAAAATCGTTCATCTGCCCTGTGTATTGGTATAATTTTAGTCAGAGAAAAACTGTCCTTCTGTTCAGCCAAACAAATACGTGATACCCATCCTTGGGCGACACATCCTGAAGGTACAATATTTCCATAGCAACTAGTTTGACAAGCCAACAGTGGGTACTGCTGTGATGTATGGTTTGGAGCAAGGGTCTCTAACTCCTAACCTTAATGATCCAACATCTGGCCCCTGTACATGTCAATAATAATGAAGTTCTTTACTGTGCTAGAGTGGTCTGGCTAAGTAGGGGTACATGACCCAGAGATTTTTGAGTGGAGTGCTAATAAAACACTCAGGCACAAGTCTTTTATTTGAGTCTTACTCAACGGTTCAAAAAACAAAGTTAGTACAATTAGAGATCATTTGCTGTGATGACCTCGAAAAGGAGAAATTGAAATTTAGTCAAAGGGAATTTTAAACAACAAAATAAGATTTGCATGACACTGTTTGATTGGCTGCATTCTAACAATATATATGACAATAAACATCTTGAATCTTGATGAGATGGATTCTGCATTATTTTATTAAGAAAATGTAAAAACCAAAAAACCGACAAAAGGTTATTGAACTCATAGAAACCATGACTCCTATGTTTCAAACATAAATGTTGGAAAGCAAGGTCTCTTCTACTCTGCCTGCTGATATTTATGGTTTCTAGGTGATCATCTCACTCTCTCTCTGTCTCGCTCGCTTATCCCTGTGTCATAATCACTGCTCTTTATGATTGGTTTGCCCTCTGTGCCCTGTTGAGATGTGGCGTGTAATGAGGGCTCTGGAGGAATATGCGAGTAGGCTATTTAGCTATTCAGACAAGATCAGCTTGCACATCCCACGCTCTCTAACTTGACTTCATACCAATGCCTCTCAGCTGGTCAGAGTGATCTTTGTCCTGTTCACAAGGTCAAACACCGGTTAAAGTTGCAGTCACTCACATGTTAAAATATCTATCTATCTATCTATATACACACACACATATATATATGTATATATATATATATATACATATATATATGTGTGTGTGTGTATATATATATACACACACACACATATATATATACACGTATATATACATATAACGTATATAAAGACATATGTATATATATATACATATATACATATACGGTGTTTGTTCCAAGGAGTAAAACGTCAGTGTGAAGTTTACATGTAATCTTTTAAACATATTTTATAAACAAAAATGACTTAAATTTATAATCACATATACATGCTTAGAGAATGGAAACATGTAAAACTATGCTCAAAGAATAAGTTGCAAACGGCCATGCAGAATACAAACATTTTCATTCACAAATAGCTCACCGCTGGTTAAAACGAACCTTGGATTAGAAGTGAACTTGGGACTTTAAACTGGAACGTTAACATGTGACGTTTAGTGTCCCGCCTCCTGGTACCGCCTACGTCTTGCCTGTTGACCAATGAATGGGTGCGTATATACTGCCACATGCTTGCGACGTCACTGCTCTTCCTTCTTCGGTTCCATGCCAACATGGCGACTTCCATGGCATCTCAGGCTGCAGCTAGAGGACTGAGGGCTGCTTCGTTCAGGCACCTGTTTCTGGACAAAGTCAAGGTACTGCCTCTGTTCGCATCTAACAGCACTTCTGTCACGCGGTGCCGTGTGCGCTCCAGTCCAATGCCAGTTGTTGTTGAGCTCTGAAAGTTGACTTAGTGTGGCTGCTATGCTATTCTTAGCATGTGTGAGAGTTTTGGTAGTTTTTTTAGTTAGTTTAAAGTTTGAAAAAGAAAACAGTGCTCCTGTAGGTGATTTGACGTCAGTCAGGCTTCCTGTCATATAATTTATTTTAGCTATAAACTTTTTAGAACACGTTTAAAAATGCTTATAACGAGTAATATAGTAATACATTTAACATAGTATCATTAAAATTAGGTTAGATCCTACTGTCAGAGATTATGGGAAGAATCGCGGGTATCAGATATAAATTGAGTTTAAAAATATAACCTGATCATCTATATACAAATGTCTGTTTCATGAGTCCGTTTTTTTTTAAATTTACATTTTATTTAGTCAATTTCTTTGCAAAAAGGTCTTCCAGTTTATCAACCATACACAGTCCAGCTCATGTACATCTATACTTATCAGTTATTATTGGCCCAGTCAGCCTATTGAATGTGCAAGTTACATGCCAGAGAAGGCCCGGAGTTATAAGCCAGAGAGAAGCCACAGAGATAAGAGATAAAATGTGAGGTAACACACACACCCACACATACAAAACAAAAAAACAATCTATCCTGTAAAGCTGGCTAACTAACTGTATTTGGTTTGGGGTAAGAGTTTTTCAACGTTTCCCTGTTTGTGTTGTTATAATTTAATTTTTAAGCACATAGTCCCCCTGGTCTGGTCTTGAGTTAGTTAGTCTGTCTTAATGTATCTACCTTATGGCAAAAAGGGACAATAGAAGTGTTGAATGTCAGTCACGTGATGCACTCTGTCTCTCATTTGACATTTGGACTTTAGCTATCACAATTCTGTGCTGCACTGTGCTGACAGTGAAATGACTAATCTGTACTTTTAGTTTTTTGTTCTTTAAGATATTACCATTCTAAGATGTGCATATTGTGGTGTATTTTTGAAGTGTAAATCCACTCTAATCACAGAAACAGAATCCTAATCCATTGGATTTAGATAGATGATTCCTTGTGAAATTATGTGAACTTATTTCCTATTGCATGTATAATGCAATGGCACATAATATATCATCACCACCTTGTCACTCTTTTGTTATACTGTTTTGATGTCAGTGTGGAAAATCTGCTACTTTCCTTACTGCTACTTTTCTCTTGGTTTTAATGTACACACATTTGTGATACTGGTATGATGCTGATACAAACAATAAATACTTAGAATGCATTTTAAACACAGCCCCCCGCATCACACAGTAGATAACATCAGACTGACAGGAGTGATGAATTTATCATCGGCTCTAATCTTCATTTGAAGATAATGCACATTGTGGACAACAAATTGTGGACTTGGCAATATTATGATAATGAGTCTTTGAGTATGTTCTGTATAATGTATACTATTTCTGTTTTTATTCTTTCACTCTTGTTTTGTGTCATAAATCAAGTCTCTTAAATTTTTTTCTGCTCGGCCAGATAATCCTGAGGCTGTTTTTCACTGTCGCTCCATAGTACTGAATATGGAAACGTTTATTTTTTATTTTTTTTCCCCATCTTCTTTTTTGTTGTTCCTGCTTAGCAATAAGCTAACGGTATTGGAGCCCAGCATGGTCTGACGGAAACGCTGGAACGAGGGGTGACTCAATGAGCTCAGTCCTGAATATTTAACAGGGGAAGGTGGAGAGCACTCTGCTTGCAATGACTTCTTTTGCTGTAACTTCAAAAGATGGGCGGATTTTTCCATCTGTCTCAGCAAGAACACATTTACATTTCCTCCCCGTAAGGAATACTGGAGGACAGAGTTAGCTCTAACTGGATGTGAATACAGCTTCAACAAGGTTAATAGCCATTTCTGTTGCTGCTGTAATGCTTCGGCTTTAAACACTGCAGCCATTGAGAGATTTTGGCATCACCTGGAACGGGGAAAATACAGCAGGTGAATGTAATCCTGTCTGTGCTCCCCCAACCCTCCCATTCCCTGTGTAAAAAAATAATATAGTTGTGAGAGTGGTTTTGAACAATGTTGCTGAAACTTTGCCAGTGATTGTTGAAAATTTCACTTATTCAAAAAGTATTATTCAAAGTGTGTTAACGGACGGGATGAGAACAGAATGTTTCTACATCTCGAACATAGACTACACGAAGAACAAACAAAATAAGCAACTAGACGAGCACGGAAGTTTTTATTTTACTGTCTCTAATTTCTTGCCATAACTTTTTCTATGTAGTGTAATACCCTTTGAATATGACTCTGCATATACCGTCTTAATAACTATGCTAATTACCCAAATCCCTATCTGTTTAGACACAACAGTCAGGTTCTTCTTTCTTAAGCCTGTCTGTGGGAGATTAGACCTGCCCTGCCTAAAGACCTGCCAATGATGCAAATCTTGCTGATCTAAATCCTGCAGCAATGCTCGACTGCGCCCGTCTCTGTCTCAGCTCCTCTGTTCTGTCCCTTGATCTATAACCAACAGATGCCATTTCCCTCTTCATACTTTAATGGTCTTGGTACGGCCTTTACTCTTATCAGGCAAAACAAACATGGGGGATGTGCTCACTAATTAGAGGAAATGGCATGACCTTACACAAACGTGTAATGTAATCTATAAATGTGATCTGAAAACATCATTGCTCTACCAGGTCATTGCAAATAAATTAAATGAAAACAATTTTCCTCATCCCTAAACAGAAAATATAGACAGCATATCCCTAGTAGTACTAGGGATATATTGAGTTGAGGGACTTTCCTGTTATTTGAATACAGCTTTGATAAGTTCTGTACAAATCAAACATTCCTTGTCATTTAAAAAAAAAATCCAGTGCACCCAATGCATTGTAAATGTCTCTGGATCAAACATGTGAATCCAAATTACATTAGTACCACTGTCTTCCAATGTATTCTAGAACTTTAAGTGGCAAAGAAAGCAGTGTAGCTCCTCTGTACAGTACTATTACTGAACTAACAGAAAGGAACAGCACAACTCAGAGAGCCAGCATATGAAGCCCCTCACTGTTTGAATGCCCAGCTCACAACATGACCCTTCACAGAATAAACTCTTCTCGTCAAATACATTTCTCACACACAAATGCTTGTGTTTTAAAAATATCTTCACGACAGGAGCACTTTCTGGAAAGTCATGTTGTCAGAGGTTCACTTTGGTTGGGAACCCGTTGATAATTCATTTTTCCTCTATTCTTTCATTTTCACTGGAATATTCAAATGTTAACGATAAGATGGAATAAATTCTGCCATCGGCACTTGAGTACATAATTAATAGAAGAAGAGCAGACTCGATGGCTTTCGGAATTAGCCCTCTAATGCTTCATGAGGCATGGACTTGCTCCACGGCTGGATTTAAGTGGAAATGTGCTTGTGATTTAAACTGACCTGTTTATGCAGAAAATCCACATCAACTATGCTTCTGTGCCTCCTCTAGTCCTTTTCTGCGTGTCACCTCCATTACAGCTTACCGCTCAACACTTGTCTAATTGCAAGGCCATCCTTATTTATGAGTGGCAGCTAAGTAGAAAACTGCCACCTCTTCAGCAAAAAACAATCTACAGCAATCAGTATGGCAATGATATTGATGCATGTTCTGATGACTCCTCTCCCAAGGCTCATTGAAATGGACACTATAAATTCCTCTGCCATTTTGTCTGGTTGGTTGGCCTACTGGATAGGAAAAAAGGGATGACTTCATAACCTGTATGGGAACAAATCAATTACACAGATTCTGTGAACTGGAAATGTGTTAATTTCTTAAACATTTGATAATGCCCCTTAAGGAGCCTTTTGGTTAATTAACTCCAAAGTCATTTGTCGCCTGTAATTAGGCAGTGTGGTTTCAAAGGGGTTGGGGTCTACCCATGACAAATAATGAGGAATTTAACCTCGCCAGACAACTGGGGATACAATTATATAAAGTCAGCTATTCAGAGCCTTTGGAAGAATTGTCAATTCCCTGTACAGTTTTATTGAAGAAACTCTATATCAGTATCAGTAAGTAAAAAATATTGCAGCCCTACTTTAAAGTAAATACACTCAATACATAACTGAGAGAAATAGCATGTCTTTTCATCTTTAGCATAATTTCTGACAAAGACGGAAAACAATCAACTAAGCTTGGCCTTCCAAGAGGTGGTAATTGTTGTTGCGTTTCTCCCTGCAAAAACAAATAAACAAATGCCAATTGCAAAACATTTTCAAGCCTTATTGGTCAGGTGAGGATTGACTGCTGAGGAGCAAATCTTGTATTGATGTGTTAAAATGTTTCCCTAATGGATCTCCGCTAAGTTTTGTATTAGGACTCAAAGCTATGTTTAATAAATATAGCAGGTGAACGAGTAGCGTTTGTCTTGTGTTGAGGCCATATCCTATCGCTGTCTTTCTGTAATCCTTTAATGCACCTCTTTATGGTGTGTGTAAAAGCTATATGCCTATGTATCTAATATTTATAAGCGTCTGGAAATAAACACCAATAAATTATGGTAGTAATGGAAATCTGTTACCTATTATTGACTTCTTCTGACTCTTATTCAAGTGTCCAATTGGGATTTAATTGACCTATGAAGCAGTAGCTGCTTAGAATTAGTTTAACTAATCATCAGTCATTGGTGTTTCTAAATTGTTTGCTGTTGTATTTTTTTTAGTGGAGTACTGAAAGCTTGATGCTTAAATTTTGCTCATACTTAAAGTAAGAAAAGGTTAAGTTTAAATTGTAATGAACTGCAGAGTCCTGACTATCCAAACTAAATAGCCTAGCTTCTACGTACAGTATAGTGCTACAAAAAGTACTCTTTGCATTGACTGTGGGCAGTGAAAAAGAGAAGATGCATGACAAATCTGCATGTCCGCCTATCAATAGTGTTTATAATGTTAACTTTATTCCCCTCTTCTAAATGATGTTTGCTGTCCCTGACTTGAAA